TTGGTTTGTGTCTGTGATCTCCATATCGGGTGTCTTCAAACTATGATACGTGTTAGTACTGGTAGGAAGGAATCCTGAATGTGGCTTTGTCTGTTTGTCCACCAAAACTTTTTCTGGACATGAGTGCGTATATGTGTGGCTATTATGAAGACCCCCTGCGCTATATACTTCGATGGTGGTGTAAAAGGAGCGACTTTGTGTGCCACATACGCCTGATTTCACGTGCAGGTGTTATTGCACGAATAAGTTTCATATAACGCATACAGAATGCTAATATGTTGGTGTTAAAATCTCCAATACAGAAGTTGTTTTTTGTTTTTCCTATTAGCATTTCATTGGGACCAAGCAATCGCTCAGATTAAGACCTACACCTCGAGAGCAATTCTTTACGGCAAATCGCGTACGGTTTCAAAGGCATTTAATACACCACAAAGGTTAATGTATTTATTTAGAAATAAGACTGCCTTATTTTGCTCACAGTGTCCATTCCGTAAAGATGCTTTTCGTCTTTCGCATACGACAAGAACGCTGAAGTTACTGAAGCAGAAATTCGATATCCTTGAAAATATCTGATTGTAGCACTAAGAAGGAAGTTATATTTTACTCAGGTGCTACTAAACTCCAATAATGTTCGAAACTTATTTGAAGGATTATCCCAAATCCACATAAACCTTTCAAGACTGCTTACAAACTGGTTCCGTCATAATTGCGCCAAGTCACTGACAGTGACACTATAAGATGCAACACAATGTTGGAGGAATCCAAATGGATGACCTGGTCAATATAAGCCTCATCCAACTGCTCACAGATTAAATACGCCATCGTGGACATTGTTGATTCCTCACAGAAATAATATACGTCTTAGAAAAGACGATCATTACTGAGTGGAAATGTGTATGAAGGTAAATAATTTTGAATATAAACGCAGTCATGCCGTTAATTGTTTAACCATTCTAAAACGTATCATTACAATCTAAGAAAATACTTTTCATAAAAGCTAACTACTCAAAACTGTTTATTTAACATGAGAATAAAACTGTGAGTTCAAATATCAGGGTGTAATTTATTCAGTGATTAAACTGACACCACATAAATCAGAATACAAAGTGCGTCTTGTTATCTTTTACCCCCCCCTCTCCATCTCTTTCTTTGATGTTATTTTCAAAGTTCTCACATATTTCAGTAGGAAAACAACTAATACAACTGTTTGTTTCGAGATGAAACACATTTTTACAGCCTACTTGACATTTGTCCATGAATAGTCACTTCAATAAATATTAAAGTGGCACAGATTAATAACTAATATCACACGATTTTTCGTTAATATTTTTCCAAAAACTATCGTTTCAAAATAAGTTATTTCAAAGGATTTTGCTTAAATCTCAATAGAGCTCTGAATTCACTACGCGCGTTTCAAAATGAAAACAAAAGTTACATGACATTCAGCATTCAATAGAAACTCTTCGACTTCACTTGAGAACACTTAGACGAGCACTCTCGCCATCGGTCTGTCTGACAGAAGGAACTCGGAAGAAGATTCTAGAGTGTGAGATATCAGTGTTGAGAGACTGGATGACAGACAGAATTTTGACAGTTCACGCCCAGATTGATGGGTAGTCATTATTGTGTCAGTAGCGAGGCGCATAAGCGCATTGGCTGACATATTACTGAAAGGAAATGGTTTCTACAGAAACCTTCAACCCGGTTCCGATCGATGCTGGTCATTCTCAACGTCTTAAGCGTATAAAAACCATTTTAACATTTGTTCCTTGACTTATGTTCATAATAATCCTGTTTCGGAAAAGTTGTTTTTCAACTGGAATTACTTGTAATCTTTATTTAGCTTAATTGCTCATTAAATTGTGGCAGATAACCTGATTAACTGAAATCAAGTTGACTCGATAGGCAGAAATGTAAGAGAGAGAATCCATGTTATTCTTCCTTTAGTGTTTAATCACTTATCAATCGCCTAATTGATAAATATACTCAGTCGTTTCACTTGAAGAAGATAAATAGGGATAATAAAAACGTCTATTCTCAATATATTTTACATGAAAGGCGCCAGTTTCCAGATATCAGCAATATGGCACATGAAATAAGGATTATTCACACATCCATTATTTATAGAGGCATATATGTTCTATGACTTTTAGACTTATATGTACGATAAAAGCAAAGCGTAATACATCTGGAAATGAATTTATGCAATTTTCCTTTCACAAATACATTTTCAAAGTGCAACAAAGAAGTGTGATTTTGAGAGTGTGCATTATATGAACTGACAAGAGCGATGGATGAATTGGTGTCCAACTATAAAAATTTTCCTGGTCAGTAGGCCTGTTTCCACTAATACTATAAGTGATAGAGACATGAATGACTCTACATAGCATTCTCGAATACCAGTAATTGATTAAACGTGAAAGTCTTTATTCATGTTAATTGTTCAACAGTGAGTCAAACAGATGGAGATTTTATGCACCTCTTGAATGATGAGAATTTCATCTATTGGAGGATTTTCTGACTTTCAACTTTTTTAAGTCAATTAGATTGAAGCAAACAATACTTAATGAAGTGTTAATTGGTGTGCGTCTATAGTGAATTTGTATTAAATGTTTTTAAATTATCAAGTATTGATTTTCTAGGGAATTTTCTTTGATTGATTGGAGGATTTCATCATGAGCTGACATCAGTTAGAGGACAGTTAGAAGACAATGGTAAGTACTGCAGAGCTGTTTCATCAGCCTAATTTGCGATTCTTCATCATTGAGCAACGACTGATAGTGTTCGAACTAAGGACGTTCTGGCTACAAGGCTGACGAGCTCGTATTCCATGAAGTCACTGGAGCCCGATCCAATGGCCAGCCAGCCCACGAATTCTTACTTTTGCTTATTCATAATGTAGTGCGACCTTTCCACAATGTCTCGCGTGATGATTTACTGTCTCACCTTCAACATGCTGCACCCTACTAGTCACGGTCAACTTTCTGAATAGAGCCAGTCGCTTGTTAACATCAGAATAATTTTCAAGTACTGGTTTTGTGAGGAATTTTCTTTGATTGGTTGGAGGATTTCATCATGATGTCAGCCCATCTAGGTTCAAACCTCGGTGGTAGGTGAATACTGCTGAGGAATCCCAAACTGGGACTAAACAGCTGTCCAGTAATCCTAGGTTGTCATATTAACTTTTGCTTGTGCTCTTCACCTTGGAGTTATTCGAACAATGGAAATTATTACTTTTACAGAAAATAACACTTCAAAGTTTTTTTGTCTCATATGAAATGAACATGTTCTCCGAACGTCACTGCTGGATGATATCATACTGAACGGAATTATATACTTTGGTACCAACATCTCTGAAACGAATTTGTGTGTGAGAAGTTCATGATTTCATTTAAAATTATCAAAGATACGAAGTTAGTTCCATACAGTCATCTACTTTATGGTGGAAATGCCTGCATATTAGGTCATAGATGCTAGTTGAAGTGGATCGTTGAGGCCTTCGGGATAGAGGATAAGTCTTCTGTTTATCGCCAAAATGTTGAGTTTGTTCAACATATTTCGCTATAATGCTAACTCAGACCTGACTTATCACAACAATTCACGAAACAGCTTTTAGGTGACAATAGGTGTGTACCATCATGAATAAAACATTGTTCAGCATAAATTTCAGAGTTTTCGGTGGTGGCCACTCAACCAAACGCCAACCAAATTAGTTAAAATTGAGTGACTACCACTCAACTGTTCGTCACTTTTAGTGCATTTCGATATTACATAGTAGAAGTATCGATCATATTTAGAGCTTTGTAAACGTGTGAGACAATAGTGCTTTATTCTACTGATTGCTTGACAGGATTAGTTGGATACCGCTGATATTAACCAGTATTGTTTGATATTTAGGCGAACCAAAGTGATGTATGCACCTATCGGTCACTCCTCTCATTTGAGGCTAAGTTTATCTGTGGTGTACCAGGATCCATATGAACTCATGCAGTAAATCAACTGTAACCATCCATATCCTGGCTAAGGACTTTGGCAAACGGGTATTACAAATTGAGAATTGTTTTTTGAATTGCTACTTACATATTTCGTAATTTACAATATCGATACAGTCGAAAGAAAACTGAGTACATTTTCTACAAACTTTAGTGGTTATTGTTATTCAGTTTGTAATGCATTGGTGAATGCTGCAAACATTCATGTGAATTAGACCATCGTTTCGCCTTCCAACATCATTCAAATTTAAAGTGACAGTCTGTCAGGTCATGTTTACCCAGACAGCTTCAGTAAGCCAAAAATGCATTGCATGTTAATTAATTGCAAATTAATTATTTTTAATGTTTACCTGAAGTGTTGAGACGAAAAGACAGACGAATACCTTTCATGCAAACAGTTTTTCGTGACTATCTCATGCACTCATGGGATTCAAAATTCACTGCTTGATGATATAGTCACAAGACTGTTGTTCGACCCAATCATGAGAATAGCATCACAAATGTCGGTAATAACGCTTTGTATTAGTTGAAAGTATAATACGAGGGAAATCTTTCATCTTATATCTTGCCGGCCGTATTTAAAAACCAATTAATAAGCACGTACTTTGTATTGAACGCAAAGTCACTTCATGTTTGTGAAGTGACTCTAGGCGACCTGAAATATACACAGTGGTGGGATTACACCTCTATTATTCTAAGCGGCCACAGAGACCAATTATCAAAGAACATCTACTCTAATCTCACAAACATCAGGATTACCTATTAAAGATTCTGCATCAAGACAAGGTTTATTGTATATTGGACGGAACACCCGTGTTTCTAGCTTGACAGCGAGTATATTCCTCAAACCTCGATGTATTCCACTGGATATCAGAAGTCTATCGGAAATTCATTCTACATAGAAATCATTCAGATATCAAACAAAATTAAGTAAATTACAATTTTAAGTGGAATTCTCCAAATTGTTGAGTTAAAACTTACAGAAACCAGGACCAAGAACAGGGTGAGCTAGTATGTTGTTCCTGAAATCAAACGTTAAAGAAATAAACAAAAGACTGTTGTCAACTACATATATAACGTTATTGTCGGCTATGCTGTTTCACGTGTTGCATAAGAGAAATTAGGATAGCAAAAGGTGATCAGCGATGGAGTCAGTAATGACGCGTCATCTGTGTATTCTCCTTCAGCATTTACAAAAGGACTATTTTTTGCTGGACTAAAACGATTTTTAGTCAATAAATTGGACAATTTCGCTTTAGACGTATCACTACTGCACTTAATATTTCATGTTAAATGCACTATTCGGCAGCAGTTGCCATTGTTGTATGCAGATTAAGTACTTCATTGAAAAATATACCTTTGGCTGCATGAGAAATGGGGATATTTAAAATACTATACTTTCTCTGTTGGTACTGATACTATTTGAAACAAAATGAAGTCAAATAAGTTTCTGTGCTAGAAACAATTAAAACTAACTTCCTGTGCATCATGGCGGATGGGACCAGTTGACGATTAACATAATTCTTTAGCAATAACGTAACTGAACATAATATGAGATGACTGCCTTTACTGTTCTGTGCACACAAAACAGGGTATTATTAAAAGATTCAGAGATCGTGACAACTGAGAGTATCTACACACTACACATTCATTCACAATATTTCATTTCTACACTGAGGATTTAAAGTATTTATGTCGAGAGTTGAGAGTTCTTATTTTCCTTTCTTAGACATGACACGCCTAACATCTCTGATAACATTCAGGTTGGTAAGTTTCAGGTATGATCAGTTATAAATTCGTCAAACAGTATGTCACGGAATACTTTGCTTGAAGGTTGCTTGTTGACACGGAATGTCTAGGAAAGGAGATAACTGACATACCTATATCACAATGTCCCATTCATTATTGCAATAAGTGGCTACAGAACCACAATATTTAACCAGAATATGCATAGCTGTAAGTAGAAGGAAACTCACTGGCACATTCTGCATCGAAGTTCGTCCAGTCTCTTTTCGAATTCGTCCATACTGTCAGGGATTTTCGTCCAAAGTCGTTCAGCTGTAGCAGCACCTCTAGGCCTACACATATATTACAGTGATGGAAAAAACACGCAAAACTGTGGTCAGAGAGGTGAACTGAAACACATCACATCAACGTTTTGTCTTAACTTATTTAGAGTAGGTCAGTAATGCGTTGAATGTAATTTTACCAAATTAATTGACAGGAAAATTCTCATCTGTGAATCATATGTCATAACGTTTCATGAAAGGAACAAACGTGTCACTCGATTTCTCGCCAGCTGTGTCTTTCTTAGATAGGGAAAGTCAACTTTAAAGGAAACAAAATCCCACAGTCTACATATTTAGTCATTATGATTCCATATGGCGATTCCAATAAAGCCGAATCGAGTCAAAGTTGAAATTCATTTTTAACACTTCACATGTAGATATACTGTCTGTTGATACTGGGTGTATACTTAAAGTAGCCTAACGAATTACTACTGTTCACCCTTTTATGATATTCGTTTGATGTTGGCCAGTAGTGAGTTTCAGAGGAAGTCATCATCCTATTTCCACCATGTCATGTAAACTCTCAGTTATGTTAATGAGTTTCAATGTTCAGATCCTGACTGAAAATCATCACCGAAACATTTAGTAATTTTCTCTCTTAAACAACATTTTGATTCACAGTTGAAATACCAATCAAACAATGATTTTGGTGAGAATACTAGGAAGGATTAGTGAAGAGTACTCACCACGCTAGTGACATTATATTCGTCACATCCACACGTGTGCTCCACAGTGTAGCTTCACCTCCAATGACTAATAGTTTTTGCGTAGGTGAGCCTGTAAACAAAATGAAAAGTGTTATTTGCTTGGGGAACTGATGAACTCAGTAAAGAAAGTCTACCGGATTTCAGAAATTCAGAACCGTTCATTTTGCTGAAGAACGCGACTGATAGATTTGCAGGTCAACTGGTTTAAAAAATCGCAAATTTCTGATAACTGCTGTTCAGCACCCAAAATATAACACCGATTTCCTGCAGTTTAACTAGTACTTCGTTCCAAACCAAAGAGTTACTCACATAGCAGGTCAAGGAACAACTGATAACAATGGCCTCTACAAGGTGCGTCTACCAGTTAAAAGCTCCAATGTCTCTCACTGCATAGGCGATACTCGGTGATGTTCATCCAGGCTCACACGTATTTGCACTTGTATCGTTGTATAAAGGAACAAAAAATATTTGAATAGTGTTATTTTAGTACACTTTCCGTGGAAGGCATTCTCAGTTATCTGCAGTGTCCTTGGAGACGTATGTACTAGAGTCCAACTAGGTGAACTGTTAGTCAATGAGAGATGACCTAGTTTCCATGTGTGGATGAAGTGTGCGCAGCCTCTTTATTCACCTCAGTCAACTCCATAAATTTTAAAAGTTAACATTTGAAATCCCAATTCCATTTTTTTCTTTTATCGACTTCGTTACACTAAGCAGCTGTTATTTCAGACCTTCTATGGTTTCATTATCTTTTTTATTATGTCTATTGACCAAGGTTCATGTTATGCTCTTCAGATTCATTCCACTTTATTAAATTCTTCATTACCTGAAAACAGTGTACAAATAGGACATTTGTATTCACAACATACCAATGGTATGACTTTTCGCTTATCTGTCACCTGTGAACCTACGTATATCGTATTTTTTTCTACGTGTTATTCCTCAGTGGTACTCACGTCGTATGTCGCACTCCTGACTACACTCACCCCTTGAAATAGATACTGGTTTCTTGATTATATATCACAAACATATCACTGAGAGAATCAGTTTCATTTTGTCTCATGTTCCTATTGATCATACGTATGTTAAGTGTTGATCACTGACGATTTTATCACCTCATATTTCTGTCATGATAAACTTTCTGATGTAATTCTCAATTGCCTTCAATGAAAATTATTTACCAATAGGAATGGATTTATAACCACAGAGGCTGGGGAAGTTACTGAAACTGCAATGGTTGCTCCTATTATTGTTGTTTTGAAAATATCATGAGGATGTTCAAGTTGTTGGGATATCCTGTTGTCCAACGGTTAAGATGAAGGAGGACTATCGATAGATTCAATTATTCAGTTTCCTTAGGATGAACGGATGTAAGTTCATTGTAGCCTATATATATATATACACTAATGAGTCAGTCGTATATTAATCACTTCCACCGAAGCAGCTTAACTCATGCCCTCACCCATCACTGATAATAACCGATAGCATTAGTTTTATCGACTAGCAGATAAATCCTTTCGCCGCATCAGAGTATCGCATGAATTACTTTAATTACACAGTGGAACAGTATATCTTCAGTTATGTTACTCACCGGAATGTCATCTTATGCACAACACTTTAAACATATTGTCTGTCGTCTGTTGTAAAATTTACAAACATATTTCTTTCCACACATATCACTGCCACATGTGTTTCGCTGAATGTAGATGTTTAGTGACAGTGAAACGTACATTAGTGTACATCGGTTCAACTTATCCGATATCGAGGCTCAAACCTACTTCATTAAGTCAAGATTCTTCAGTGAGTGTTTGATTTCGGGAATGCACTTGTCCAGTATTCATGAATTCGTAATGGAACCATTCCTCTCAGAAAATGGAATAACAAGGAAAACAAAATCACCAACTAGATCGACAAATCACCACTACTTCCCAATTCCTTAATGACAGACTCCTGAATTCAATGTGAATGTCCCACTGACTTCCATTATTTATGTATATATTTATATTTTGTTAATATGCCGACATTCTGTACAAAATCAAACTACCCACACTTGTGACTCAAGAAACAGTGCACTCGCTGCAATCATTGTGAATCCGTGTTCATTTCAAAACTGTTGCATAACACAGACAAAGTGGAACTTGAAACACACCCAAATAAATATCGTCAACACATAAATTTGTTTCAGACTACGCGAGAATTAACTCACCTCCAAAATCTCTGATATTCTGTGCGTAATATCTCATCCAATCAAGACCACTTTGTACGTCATTTAGATTCCATGTACCAGAAACTATAACCTTATATCCATCTAATGTGGCATTGTAGACGTGTTTTTCCCAATCTACAGTTTTCCAGACATGAATGATTGTTTTACGGTCAATCTGTTAAACCGAATGAAACATTTGAAAAGTTAGTGGTATGAACGTCAAACTCATATAACTATTTAGATCAATTTAAAAGGTATTAACGGTTGATTATTAGTCTGGAAATAGAGGATGGCACATTATCTAACCGATGAAACATATCTTTCACAGGTTGACTGCATAAAGTCATTTTACCTGAGATATCGAATTTTCTGATGCCCTTTTCAGAGACATGTCATACGTTTGACATGGACAAAATATGCAGTACGTTAGATTTTTTTAACCGAAGTATGAAATTAAACCACCTCAGTTCTTTAATTATCTAGTAAACTCTCAAGATGAGTAGGATCATAACTTGATTTGATTTTGTTCATGTTGGTTAACAGTGAAAATGTAGATACAAGTTTCTTTCTGATCAAGTCTCATCAACTAGTCATATGATCACTCTACTGAACGACAGGTTTACCACACGAAATGGGAACAATGAACCAAGCCAGGATGTCTCTTTTGGGATCCTATATGTCAGCAGACACTCACCACAGAGATATGGGGAACACAAATTTCTATTAACAAAGTGAACTCCTATATCCTGTCCAACCTGAATAATCACATGAAATAACTCAGTTGATCAAATACAATCAGATGAACTGACGATTAAGCACAGGGATTATTCTGCTGTATTTAGGTCGACTGGGTTGTAAGGGAGAGAGAATACAGCCGGATTCAGCATGACAGACTCCACTGGAGAAGTAATTAGAGAAAATATTCTCCTATCACCATACATAAAGTAACACCCAAACAGAGCATTAGGCGACCTAGATCTATTTCCCTGATGGTGATGAAATAGATGGAGTATTATTTGTCTCTAGACACCAAATCAGCCAACATGGAACAAATGTTTTAGACGCGAAATAGAATAACTTGAAAATAAATGCTTGCAATAATCTGTCATTGAAGTATTCGTCAAAATATATGACTGAATCAAAACAATCCTTCTCATCATCATCAAATAGGTGCCTGCGTTCTATTTCCCGTGTAAAGTGGCATAATAAGGTGAGCAACATGGAGGTTAGGCGTAGAGTTCTAGGTAAACAGGGGAAATCAATCGACGAAGTCGTGAAGCTACAAAGACTGAGATGGTTAGGACATGTGTTACGTATGCCAAGCCATCGCCTCCCTCGACGAGCTATGTTAGCGGATATAGGGTCAGGCTGGAAAAAAGCTAGCCGGCGGCGGTCAAACAAAAACTTGGCATCAGTCAATGAAATCCACAACAGTTGGTCTAAGCCACGTAGAAAGGTGTAGACTTCCAGGCTGGGGTCCTCGGGACGGTAAAAATCTATGGTTGGAAACAATTAGTGACATGGCTCAAAATCGTTCTCAGTGGCGCAGATGCATCCACTCCCTGTGACTTATGATCTTCAATAAAACTGTTTTGTATTTCTTTATTACTCCTTTGTCTCACACCTCTGCTCACTGTTTCTATTATGCTTTTCTTGTACTTTCTTCTCTTGCTTCGCGAGCAACACGGAATGTGGCGACTTGAACTTCCGCACATTTGTGCAAAGTTCTATGTCGAAAACAGACAGACAGACAAATAAAAAGGAATGATAATTTTGTGTCAGTGGGATACAGAGAATCGTCACTGAATATCGAGTGTAGTGGTTTAATTACAAAATTATTTTTCAAAACTTACTTCACAGTCGTCAGCATAACTCTCCTGGTAGACAATAGGAGTGATCGGTAAGTCAGGGTCTGTCATCATGATCACAACAATCTCAATAAGTTTCACCAAGTGATATCTATGTGACTGGTAATAATCTTCACCGAATCCCATTTTTTTCACGAATCGACTTATTTCCTGATTCCACTACCTAAAATGAACAGGAAGACATTAAATCTACTTGTTCACTGTTCTTGTCGATGATTCAATTTAAACTGCCTACAAATAAGGAGCAGCAATATGAAGCCTACCGTTAATCTACATGAATTAATTATTAAAATACAACTTGATCAGAGATTGTTGTTGGGGAGTTTCTATTCCACTCAATGGAAGGAAGAGAATGAGATAGATGGGTGCTGTAATATTCAGCGTTCTACTGAAGAAGAAATAGAAGAAGAAACAGTCGTGCCTTATAGACAGTTCTCTGCATTCGTTTATATTAACCAATCAGGAGAGGAATAATGTGAGATTGTATTTCACTGGCGATTTGTCGCTACCATGTTTGATTGCAATAAATGTCTTACAACGCGCTGGTATTATCAGACAAATAGACACTTTAATACAAAATAATATTTTGGTAAATCATTCAATCAGGGTTAGAAACGGCCAAAGGCTGTTATACACTGTTTCCTGTACACACAATTTTTGATGCAAGTTATCAGACATTTTCAGCACAAACTTCAAAATGACGTCACGACACCACTATAAGTGGTGTTTTCTCCACACTACTAGTCAGTCTACAAATTGGCAACTCGAATGCTGTAGGGTCTCATTGAAACTATTATCCATGCTATTTCCTAGTGCTTCAGTCGACAGCTGTTTTCCTGTTACTACCTAGGAATATTTATTGAAATTTAATTGACTTGGTGAGAAAATTCTTTAAAAGATACTAGTTCAGCGCTTGTTAATCTGATACAGAGAAAAGTTTGTCTTCAGTTTGAAATAAAAACCTGGTGAATTCATAACATTCTTTGTTCATTTACTCATGCATAAGATCAACAGAACTCACCAGCACGCATAGTCAACCTCATTGCCGCCACGATAAATGTAATTGTCATGAAATCTGTCGATGATTTCTTTAAAGAATTTCTTCAGAAACTCATACAACGATGAATTGGCTGGATTCAACCAACCCAACTTTTCACTTTGTTCATCGCAGTTATAAAATTTTGTTAGTAAGTCTGGGTATCCTTTCCCCATGACAATGTATGCACTACAAAAGATGATTGTGACAGTCAGTGGAAATCAGCCTTACAATATTTCGACAAATAATGTCGTTGAGATACAAAATACGATGAGTAATGCATTCACTATCTGAGATTGATTCGTATTCTGCTGTCTGAAATTATACACTGTTCAACTCATATAACACATGTATTTCACACTAACTACGTTGTTCCACTCAAGGATCAACTGCAAGACGTTGAATGCAAACACTGGACCACGGATATTCATGTAGTTCACTGGTCGGATACTTCTCCATGTTGTCTGGATACTATTAGGCGACTGAACAGAATCACAAAGCTTGAATACCTTATCTTTTACTGTGGATTTTTCAAAACCGCCATGGGTTTACACCTTCCAGCGAAATCGAACTTCCTAGGTGACTCAGAAAAGGTAAACGCCTCTCATCATCTCCTTGCTTCAACATATCTTCAAACACAAAATCATGCATAAAATGCCCTATATTTATGATGACTACGTTGAATTGGTTGATGGACTGTTTTCTTTCAGCGTAATTCCAAGAGCATGTCCATACTCATTTAAATCTCTGCATGGTGCTATTTCATTTGAAGTCACATGATGGATAATTACATCATATTAAATATATATTTAAAATTATTTACCTGGAGTATCGAAATCTGGAATGACAACAATTCCACGTTGACGAGCATAGTCCAAGAGATTATTCACATCTTCTTCACTATGTGTGCACTTAAACTGATGATATGCACCCTGTTGTAGTTTAAACAAACATTTCGATCAATAAATGACCTGATTTTCTTTCACCTTATTCACCTGCTCTGACAGTTTCGGACAAGTAGTCGAGACAAAGGGAAATGATTGATCATCTGTAATATGCCAATGAAACACATTCATCTTGACCATGGCCATGGTATCCTGGTAACAGAAAGCATCATACTGACAAATGCGATTCCTACTATTCATTTCTCCAGGACACCAAGTGGCAAGAAGTATGTCGCTGTATCTATCAGCATTCCACGGTATCCGAATTGTGGTTCATCCTCCAAAAGTCCTTTAAATATAACATTCTATATGATGAAATAAATTAATGAAAACAAGCCATAGGTAAAAACGAAACTCACCCCTCCATCTTCTCCCTCATACACCAATTGAAGTATGGTCTCGGAGGCGTGTAAAGTACCCTAAAACTCAAAGGAGTTTATGCTAATTTGAGGTTCTTCTATCTCCACATTATCTGTAAAATGGTGATTGAATTAGTCGTTGTGGTACAACTCACATGATTCATCAGTTGATGCATTAGGCCATAGCTGACCTTTCCCTTGGTCACATACACATCCGAGTTTGATATTCAGAGTGCTTATATTGCATGTGACTTCAACTTTTTCAGAAATTGGTGGATGTTTCAATACCAGACGCTCTACTCACAGCTTCTGACAATACATTGCATGTGAAATAGCTCTGTTCAATGTCAAGTGGAAGTTTTAAATGGCAAACTGTCGAAGATTTTTCGTAGCTTGACGGCTTTGAGACTATCGGTATTGTATAAAGTGATTTATTGAGAATCAGTGCAATCAAGAACAACACAGAACTAAAAATCATGATTCCTCTGCTCTTGTCAATATCTTTGTTACCTCAATCTTTATAGATTTTAAATGGACTTTGACCTCATCTGATATTTAGTGACAGAATCACCATACTATCACATGAGTATTTCATTGAAGTACTTGTACTTTTCGATTAAATATAGTAACCATGGCCTAAAAAACTGTACTGTTTGATGTGAGCGGCGTACAACTACTTATATGAACCAATCAGTAGTATATAATTTTTGTATGAACGGAATACATCTCCCAGAAGTTGACACACACACACACACATGGGTTAACGTGTTTTATGTCAAGTCATGACTATAAAACCTCTGCTGATTTTTTGGCAGTGATAGTTAGAAGTTTTAGATTCTTATGGGGAATATGCCTCACCTTAACTAGAATCACCTGCCAAGTGTTCAATAATTCATTTGCATTTCTGGTGAAATCGAAACTAGAAACTGCATCCAGGTAGCCAGTCCTTGTCTGAAGACAGCCTCACAGGTAATAGAAGGGCATCAAAAGAACTCCAGACGTACGAATTTTGTTTTGACCATTTTATCATACTAGAAAAACAACAGTTCGAATCGCTTCTTTCTAGCATACCATAGGCAGATAGTGTCAGTATATCTGAAAAATGACTATGAATCCAATCTAGCTTTTCTTCTCCTCCTCACGCAATATGTGCATTTCAAGAGAAATAGGAGGAGGGTTCAGGAAACGAGGAGGAACTATATTGTTGTGGGTACCATTTCTTCCATCGATTCATAAAATCTAGAAACCGAGTGCTACAATAGTTGGCATCTATGCTCTCAGTTGACGCGTTCAAGAAGATATTAAGCAGTCACAGGTATCTATTAGAAAAGCCTCCTATCGGCAATCAAAAATCTGAATGATTATGGTACGCTTAGTGTTGGGTTAAGGACAGCAACAAAAAAAGGAGTTGAATGCAAACTACAATACGCTGAACAAAAGAGTAAAGAAGAGTGGCAGGGAAGACAAAAGAAAATATTATGAAGCCATGGAAAGTGAAGCAGAACAAGCTGCAGGTAAGGGAGACCTGGTCACACTCTACCAAACAACTAGGCACCTATCCGGCAAAAGTTCGACACAGATTAAGCTAGTAAAGGATGACAGTGGAATGTCAATCACCAAAGAGGTGGAGCAAAGAAAACACTGGGCCGAACACTTCAAAAGACTTCTAAATCGTCCGCCACCTACAACGCGCCCAACGATACCAACAACGGAAGCAGAACTACCAGTGAACATTGACCCCCCGACGAAATCAGAATTCCTGAATGCGATCAAGATGGTAAAAGCTGGAAAACCAGCAAGACCAGATGGAGCCCCAGCAGAAGCATTGAAAATGGACCCAGAGACAACAGCGAACTTGATGATGCCACTGCTGAAGAAGGTGTGGAAAGAGGGCAAAGCACCTGAGGATTGGAAGAAAGGATACTTATTCAAACTACCAAAGAAAGGAGACTTAAGTCAATATAAAAACTGGCGCGGAATTATTCTCCTGTCCATCCCAAGCAAGATACTAAGTCGCATCATCCTGGAGAGAATCAAACAAGCCCTAGATGAGAAACTTCTACCGGAACAAGCTGGATTCAGGAGAGCCGAGCCATTTATTGATCAAATCGCCACACTATGGATCATCACTGAGAAAAGGTTGAAATGGCAGTCACCTCTCTATCTCAACTTCATCGACTTTGAAAAGGCCTTCGACAGCGTCGATCGAGAGGGCATTTGGCAACTACTTCGCTACTACTGTGGGGTACCATCGACAATTATACATCTCATCCAACAGTTATACGACAACGCTGCATGCCAAGTAATCCACAAAGGGGAAACTTACGGAAGCCTTCGAAGTGGGGACGGGAGTGAGGCAAGGCTGTGTATTATCTCCAATGATCTTCCTGATTGCAGTAGATTGGATAGTGCGACAAACAACGGGCAATGAGGAAACAGGCATAAAATGGACTCACACAAAAGACTTGGAGGATCTGGACTTCGCCGATGATATATGTCTGATTTCCCACAAACTGGAAGATATGCAAGTGAAAAGCAACAAGTTGTCAGAAGAAGCATTCAAAGAAGATAGGACTTCAAGTGAACATAGATAAAACAGATGTGGTGATGAAGATTCCTGACCAGCAGCCACAGCAACAACAACAGACAACAATCAGAATAAATGGGAGGAACCTGAAAGAAACAACCTCCTTCACCTACCAACCTACCTGGGAAGCATCGTTTCAACTACAGGCCAACGGAACTGACGAGGATATCAAAGCCAGAATCGGAAAAGCAAGACAGACT